TGAGTTTGAATACGAATCTGGATCCAAATCATTCACCAGAATCAGCGGCGAAGATTTATCAAGGACATTCAGCATTGTCTGATAAATAAACTCTGAAGAATTGATGTTGTGTGTGGTGGTGTTCAAAGTAGATGTGTGATATAGGTTTAATTTTTTTGGCTTTATTTTAAGTTCATTAGTCGATCTGCATAAAAGAAAATTTGGTATAGGAATAACTTCTTCAAAACTATTATAATATGTGGTGATTATTCATCTTCATCACCAATTTGGTATTACCAACCCCAATCACTAAATTGGTGTTACCAACTTCTTACCTTTTTTTTTTCTAATATAAATAGCTGTAGATGTTATAAAGTTTTTGAGATCAATAATAAAATGATAACAGCAGCAATGTTTTGCCTTTTCGTCCCTCCCTTCTCTCACTCATATACTTTATATATTATATAATATATAAAGACATCTACATATATATATATGCTCTTATTTATAACACGTTATCAGAACGATCGACTCTTAATCCGTCCATATATTTGGAGTTAAGATTTAATTTATGTTTAGTCGATCTAAAGTTTATATATTTACGGAAATATATGTTATGCCTTCTCTGTTTATGTATTATTTCGGGATGGTAGGTTCTACTTTGCCCAAACCAATGATTTAAATTTATTTTCAAGTTTACAGGATGATATGTTATGCCTTTCCCGAACCGATCGTTATGATAGGCTATGTCTTTACGATCATATGATAATGTGGTAGACTATGTCTCCTTAGATCATAATTATGGAATTGAAAGTTAAACCTCTTCCTTGTTTATATTTATAGAGTGGTGGGTTATACCTCCTCCTTATTTAATTTATGTTTATATATTTAAATTTATTTTTATGGAGTGGAGGTCAATTCTCCTCCTTACTTATATATATGGAGTGGTAGGTTCTGTCTCCTCCTTGTTTAATTTATGTTTATACATTTAAATTTATATATGGAGTAGAAGGTTAAACCTCCTCTATGGCTACAAAATGATAGAGTTGAAGGTTAAACCTCCATAATTACAAAATTATAAAGCTGATGGTTTAAACCTCCTCCTTACTCATATTTTTATGGAGTGGAAGGTTAAACCTCCTTTTACGATCAGAAAATGATGGAATGGAAGGTTATGCCTCCCCCATATCTATATTTGTGTGGAAGATTAAATCTCCTCCTTACTAATATTATGAAGTAGAAAGTTATGCCTTCTCCTTGATCATATATTTATGGAATAGAAGATTAAACATTTTCCGTGATAATAAAATTATGGAGTTAATGGTTTAATACTCCTCCGTAATTAAATTCTATGGAGTGGAAGGTTAAGCCTCCTCCATGAACACAAAATGATGGAGTGAAAGGTTATGTCTCCTCCTTATTTTTATGGTAGGCTCAACGTCTTTAAAACCTATGGAAGCTGTACCAGGTATGTTATTATTATGAGTCAATCTATTTAACTATTTGATATATTTTATCGATTATAATATGGGTTAAAGACATCTAAACATGTCTTTAAAAATTAAACTTCCGGAAGAGCTAAAAAGCTCTGAAAACTAAAAGCTTCGGAAGATCCAAACGCTCCGAAAGAGCTAAAACTCCGGAATAGCTAAAAAATTCGTAAGATCTAGAAGCTCTAGAAGAGGTAGAAGCTCCAAAAGAGCTAAAAGCTCAGGAAGAGATAGAAGCTCCGGAAGAGATAGAAGCTCCGGAAGAGAAAAATGCTCCACAAGAGAAAACGATGGTGACATGCATATATGTAATAATAAAAGAAAGATGGCAAGGATATATACCATAGTAAACCTGAAGTTTACTAATTGAATAAACCGGTTAAG